TTAGCTTCATGTTATCGAGTTGTCTGTTAGCGTCATAAAATCAAGACAGAATGAGGCCAACAGCTGAGGCCGGCCCCTCGAAAGGTTCTAACTTGTTTACAAGTGAAGGGTGAGGTGGGCGAACTTTGGGTTAGGAAAAAGGAAAAGGAAAAGGAAAAGGAAAAGGAAAAGGAAAAAAAGGTGGTACGGAAAAGCTCGAGCCTCATTTTCTAGACCGTCCGTTGAGGTCTTCCGGTCTCTGACCGAAGCCGGCCCTTTGCTGGCCCCGACAGAGGGCGGGAGAGAACTGGTCATGGGAGAAGTAGGTGCGTCAGAGCAGAAATATCGGCCATTCTCATGTCATACTCATGTTTGGATGCGGACATTTCGGCGATGTAGTGCGATGGGGAGGGGAAGGGGAAGGGGAAGAGGAAGAGGAAGAGGAAGAGGCAGGGGTAAGGGATGAGGAGAGGGTGTGAATTAGGAGTGGGGCAGAGGATTGGCGGCAGGTCAAGAAGGGAGGCAGAATGAGGCTGAGCAAGAAGGTTGGGCGGCAAAAAGGAGAAGGGGGATGGACCAAGTGTGTGTTGTCTTTGGGCGAAACCTCGGTTTTGGGTTGACGCCAGGAGGGAAGGTCACTGGCTGAGGCGAGCAGAGATGTTTCAACACCAACGACACGACTGAAGACGATCGGGTTCCCGCCTAACGTGGGCGCTTGCAAAAGGCGTTGAAAAGTGTAGCAGCAATAAATCAAATCTGTATATCGCCCTTCATCAGGCAGACAAGAGCACAAGGTTTGATCTCTTTCGTGGGGCCCGTTTCGAGTCCTGACTATTCACAATTCATACGATTATCACGTTACTTATAAACGCAACATGAGTAGTATAGTCGATTGATATGGCAAATATAACTGTGCCTCATCAACAATCCTAGCACAGAAGGTGATGTGGAAAAAATGCATGGCTTTTCTTGAAAGTAACATCTGCCCTGTGACCCAAAGACACTCAAGACAATGTGACGTTGTGGTCAGCTTGTCGAGATTATACGCTGCATTGTCATGGTTCGAGTCCCGCTGTGGGGCCTGATGAGACATATGCCAAGTCGAAACTGCAATGCACCTATATTTGGATGAGAATAACTTTTGTCAAATCCAACAAAAACATAAGGTCTGCTCATATTGTGGGAAAAGTAATGTACCAGTTACCTTATCACCTTGAACGAAATACATCTCATATGTTCAAGTGAAACCTTCTTGGCCTCGTGTTGACGTGAGACTTTTACTGGAATGAGTTAGAGCTCCGATGATTCTCGTCAGATGATCGACTTCATATGTAGATAGGAAGAGAAACTGGGTTTCGATGAATCTCCTGAGATAACATTGTTGGGGGAACTTTGATTTCGTATGAAAGTGTATGAAAAAAAGATTCCTTAGTCGATCTTACCAGAAGAGGACGGATGAATCGGAGCTGGGTGGCACTCTTGGAAGCACTAAAATATGAGTTGGCCGATATCAACAAAGTGATCTCATCCTTGCAATACGTTGAAGTTGCTAGTGTTCACGTGAGACTCACACCCAGCTCTGATGATCTCCATCGAATGATGGACGAAAGCTGAGCCCAGTTTCACCTGAAACGAGGGAGGAATTCTCGTGGACTGCGTCAACCTGAACGTCGTCTAAAAGCCAAACCGCTACAGTACAACGCGATTCAGCCGTCCTCCTCTGGGGAGATCGACCTTCGAATCTATTCTTCATGTACTTTCATGCGAAATGAAAGTCCCCAAACGAGAGTATCTCAAGAGATTTGTTGAAACCCATCTACAGTCTGAACTTATTTTTCGTATGTAAGTAGAGTTTCGAGGCTACCAGTAAATCAGTAATATGAGATGATTCACCCGATTTCGTTTAAGGTGATGAAAGACTGGTAGAAGAATTTTCCCACAATGATATGAGTAGAGCTGACGTTTC